AGTATTTTTTGTTGTTGTTTCCTTATTTAAAAATTTACACCCAAAATATGGATTTTTATATTATTACATAACTGCTAATTTTCCATTAAGATTTTCATATGGCTAGTATTTTTTGTTGTTGTTTCCTTATTTAAAAAATTACACCAAATATGGATTTTTATATTATTACATAACTGCTAATTTTCCATTAAGATTTTCATATGGCTAGTATTTTTTGTTGTTGTTTCCTTATTTAAAAATTTACACCCAAAATATGGATTTTTATATTATCACATAACTGCTAATTTTCCATTAAGGTTTTCATATGGCTAGTATTTTTTGTTGTTGTTTCCTTATTTAAAAATTTACACCCAAAATATGGATTTTTATATTATGACATAACTGCTAATTTTCCATTAAGGTTTTCATATGGCTACAATTTCATTTATATCAAATTTACTTTAACATTAAGTTACTGTTATGTTGAAATAATCTTTTATGTTTGTTTTCTGTTACCATGTAATCAAATGAATGACCACAAATGTATATTGTTTATCTGTTTCATATAAGTTTGTAGAAATTAGAATGAAATATAAATAATAGGTAAGTTAATATCTAACCAAAAATTTTTTAATTCTCTCTGTCATTACCATACCTGATATGTTGCAATGTTGCTTGAACTGAATATATGCAAAATAAGTAAGCTCATGTTGGTCAGCAAAAAATGACCCATTGCAGAATTTTTTTTTAATTTTTATTGGCTAATTGTATAGTGGTACTGTTACATCTATACAAGTGCAAAAGTGAATGATGTCTAACATGCATTGTTGTATATGAAGTTTATAGCATTGACTTTAAAAACAAGTACTTCAGTTACATAAACAAATGCACAAGGAAACACGTGAAGTTGGTTCTTTATCTTTTCATAGCTTATAAATAATGGAATATTATTACATCTCAATATAAATTCCAACAGGCACTTAAAACATTGAGAGCTGGCCTAAAGTTTAAATATGTCAAGCATAAGTTTACCTGCTATATGATTTATGACATTTAGCCTCAATAGTTAGTGTCACAACTTCTTTATTTTTTGACATTCTATAGCCAACAGATTGTGCAATAGAAAATAATTACAAGTTTCGGATGATATATAAATGTGATTTAGACACATATAAACAAAAGAAATTTACAAAAAAAAACATATAATGATTTTTACACTCCTACATACCATAATTTTAAAACTTCACTATTTTATAAGTATTACATGTTTTCAACTATCTCAATACAGGTGCTTAGAAATTGACAGGGGAATAAAATATTACACCATTTCCATTATTGGTGGTAATGGACTTGATGCCTTGCTGACACTGTAGGGTAGAGCCAAAAAGAAAAAGTTGATACCATAATGCAAATAAAAAAAAAGTGAAATAGCAACAAATGAAGTTGATGATTCAATTCCTTCTGCATCCATTCTTTAAAAAAGTATTTTTTGATAAACAGTGTTTCAGTAGTTAATTTTAGTACATACATTGTACATGTAGCACAAATTTATGCCCTAGTTCCTAATATGGCTAATATTCATTGATACTTTGAGCTTTATATAGCCATATTTTCATATGTACTTAATATTTTGTTCTAAAAAAAAACTGAAATCCTTTCATTAGTACTTTCATTTAGTATCATTTTCATAATCAAATTCCAAGATTGATTTTTGGTGATAGTAACCCTAGTACAAAATGTTACCCAATTTCCCCATATGGCAGGTGTTAAAAGTATGCTTTTTTACTTTCATAAAATAATTTTTCTTATTTTTATTGCTCCAATCATATTTCTTAACCAGTATTTGTTTTAACTCTTAAGGCTCATCAGTTTGCTTGTTGATGGAGATGTATTAAATATGAAACAGTCATTAAGATCTTTCAGCATCACTAGAATAAACAGATGTCCAAGAAACAGTGATCATAAATGCTTTGTGTATCTATATATGACAAAATGTTATAAAAACAAATAAAATTAAATTAATTACCTGATTGGGTAAAGCCTGACACTAGGATAAGCTTTACCTGGCTAAAAACATATCCAAGAAAATATTGACAAGCATATATACTGTTATAATAAATAATTCAAAGAAAAGCTCTCTTATATGAAATATGTTACTTCAAAATTAAAATTGTTCCTTTTTTTCATCATGAACTTGTTTTTTTTTGTCTTAAGTATTTTCCATAACTTCTTATTTTTACCAAAATAAAAGTTATTTCAGAATACATTATTTTTTTGTTTCATTTTGTAGGTATGGTCAATTAACACAGGAGATGTGTACCTTTCTCTGTCTGATCATACTTTTCCAATTGACTATTGTTGCTTTTCACCCGATGGGTCTCAGATAGCTACTGCATCGAGTGACAGTATTATTCTGTGGAAATCTTTTTGTGGCACACGACTAAAGACATTTAATCATTCATGTCATTCTGTAATATCATGTCAATTCAGTAAGTATGAAACCCATCTTATATCAGCTGCTGGTCGCTTTATATGGAAGTGGGATATTGGCATTCAGAAATTACTTCGCAGATATAATAATCTTAGAAGCCATTATTATACCACTTGTTGTGTACTTTCTCCAGATGAGCAGTACATTGCTGCTGGAACATCAGAATGTGCTGTCGTGATATGGTCAGTAAACTCTGGTCAAGTAGTTGTTTCTTTCAAAGGACATTCTGAGCCAGTACAAACAGTGGATTATTCCAGAGATGGAAGGATGTTGCTGTCAGCATCAAAAGATGGAACTGTCATGGTTTGGGACACATCAAAAACATTTGGGACTTCTATGATAAGTTTATCAAAAGAAATATCTGTAAAGTTTCAAGATAATCAACCTGTAATAGCCACCCCTGATGAGTGTAACAGTATTCAAGTAAGAAATCATTCTGACTGTTCTCTTTTTATTATAGTTTATAAAATTTCATGAAATTAAGGTTGATATAGCATATTTTTTTACATTAATGTTGAAAGTATTTATTTTTAAAAAATTCATCTTTTTAGTTTTTATTATTAAATAAATTATTTAAGAAAACTTTTAAATAAAGGATTATTTTGTCTCAAAGTGTGTGCCATATTCTTTCATGCGTATTTCATAGTGTATATGATCTTCTGAACTGCTTAGTCAGGAATCATGAAAATCTGTGCTATCAGTTTGGAATACTGTTTTTAGTAATAAATAGACATACATCCAATAAGTCATCCAAAATTACATTATAAAACTATACATGAAAGAATATTTCAAAATTTCTATGTCATTAAGAAACATTCATATTGGACATTATACAAATAATGAGACAGATTTAGTGCATTGTGAGTATTCATATTGTTGCTGTGCATACTTATGTATAAAGTAAGAATTATAATTTATATTTATTTAGAAAGATTTGCTAACAAATTAACCAAAACAATTATATGGGTCACAGCAAACTACCATTTATGTATGCAATACTTGTGTTCACGTAGATAATTTAAGTTTTGTTTTTTACATTGCCTGATTGAACTTTTTGTTTTTCTCGACCCAAATATTCATTTTTCAAAATAACCTAGAAAAGTATTAGTGTGGTATTCTCAGTGAACTTCATTTCTCTACAAGTGGGTGATAGAATGATCCAAAGACAACAAACAGTAGGCCCACTTGGGAATTACTGAGTTTACGAAGGAAACAATCTGAACTGAGTTCCCTTTTTAAATGTAGAATGGAAGTCTTGACAATTTGATGAGAGCATACAAAATCATTATTAGACAAGCAATAAGGAAACAGAGCATGCATACCCACACAGACCAATCATAGTCAGTAAGGTTGAGAAAAGAGTATAGGATTGTTACAAAAAACAGGGATATTCAATGCAAAATATATTAATTATTCACTGAAAATCCTTGTCATTAAAGAAAAGAGTATAGTGTTCTTATGGAGAACTGGAATATAAAGCTCTAGTATACTATTGCTAAAACTAAATCATTGTTAAACATAATTGTCCTTAGATTTCAAGTGATAAAATTAGTAAACATACTAGTCACAGTGTGTTATAGATAATGTATAATTCATTAAAAATAAATTTAATCCAATCCTGAAAAAAAATAGACAGTACAGTGTTTACTGTTTGGCAAGGAAACTTGTTATGGTAATAGGTAATCTTTTAACAGAGGACCTTAAAGTAGAAATCAAAGTAATATATGAAATATTAAAAACATGACAAAATAATCTTTAACTGTCAAATTTTTATAATTTTTTTTGTAATTTCATAATCAGTATGAAAAACTTAAAAAATAATTAGCCTTATAAGTTTAAAAAACATCATAACTTTTAACTGAGAAATTATTGATACAAACAGGCGTTTAGAAAAACAAATTAAAATGATTGAAAGGTTTACATTTTATAGTGCAGGCAGGAAGAAATTACAAACAAACTTATTTGCTTACAAATCAGTAAATCTAACAACTTGTTGTACTAGGCTGGTTAAGCAGCATGTGAGAACAAGGAACTTGCTGTAATCTTTTTTTTATTAAAGCAATCTTGCCCTAAGTCATGCACACACAAACAGGATTTTTGTAAATATGGGGCTCACTTTTTTTCAATCCACAAAAATAACAACTGCTGTGAGTATACATAGTTGATAAGAAAATAACATAATATTTATATTCTGGATTAAAATACTTATAGTTTTAAAAGTTATTATATGAGTAATGTTTTATTTTTTGACTTATTTTGTTTTATTATAAATTTACCTCAGTGTATTTATTATATATAATTTAATTTAGAATTATTGATACATAGAATATATCACAATAAAAATGTTAAGTTTAATAATATAATATGTAGGAGTTCTAGAGCAGGAGTGCTAAACCAATTACTCTCATAATCTGTGAGTCATGGGGTTTGAATCCCCATCACTGAACATTCTTGCCATTTCAGCTGTTGGGGTATTATAATATCATGATCAGTCCCACTATTCATTGGTAAAAGAGCAGCCCCAGTGTTGGTGGTGGGTGGTATTGACTAGCAGCCTTCCTTCTAGTCTATCTGCTAAATTAGGGTTGGCTAATGCAGATAGCCCTCAAGCAGCTTTGCTTGAAACTTAAAACCAATGAATTACCAGTCAGTAACTTTAAGAGTTTAACAGAATTATAAAAATTGTAAAGAGAGAAATGCTCTATGTTTGAGAAAAGTGAAAAGCAAATTTACATGTAGGTTGTACTCCTGATGATGATGATAATAATTTTTTAACATTTTTTTAATTGGAATCAGAAAGAAAAGAATATCACCTCTGAGTGTTTAATTATGAGGTATGTTGAAATGCAAAACGAAGGTTAAAACATGACCTGAGAGTTTTTCTGAATTTTGTTAGGTGATCGTTGGCTTGGAAGGAGTGGTGGAGTACAAAACCCCAGAAGACCAGGAAGATATCAGCTGCTGTTGCCTTTCTCCAGATTGTAATTTTGTGGTTTATGGCACAAAAGAAGGATCAGTGAAAGTAAGTAAAAGGAATTTATTTAGTATGTTTACTTCAGTTTCTTATTATTGTAACTAGTGTCATCAACAGCTTAAAACATTTGTTGTTGGGTAAATGTGTTATAAAAATATTTTCTTTATGGTGTCAACTCATTTCATTATAATTTAGAAATATCAAAGCTTATATGTTTGATACTGACTTCCAAGTATTTGAGATGTATGGTGTAAACTTGCATTATATTTGTGGGCCCTTATTTGGATAAAATTTACCATGTAGTGTTTGGGATTTTAATTGTAACATATATTTTTTACTGGGCTGCTACTTATTTCCTATATCATTTTATCACTTAATACCACATACTATTTAACATAAATTAGTCCTATGATATTTCATTGAATACCTAAAAGTTTAATGCATCTAATAGGATTAATCAAAAACAATGGAGGTATCTTTCAAATCATAGTATTGAATGGATTTTATAAAGTGACTATAAAACAAAATGGTAAAGCACAAGAATAATGAGTATTTCTTCAGATTCATTCGCATATTTAAATGAAAAGATACAGTAGTATAACATAGGAAAGCAAAAGTTTAATGTATGTACAACCTTTTTAAATACAATCTCTGGGAAGTTTGCTAAGTGATGTTTCATCCTTTAAGTATTAACAAAGAATTTTAATGAGGTGAAGAGCAATAATGTTGGAGCATAAATACTGTGTAGCTTTTTTCCGTGAAATGACAATGGAGATATTGTGATATTTTCCAGCTCACATGTTTCCCTCAAAATAGTCAGTTATAGCCTGCTAACTAGAGGTTCAGAGAATAATGAGTTGTGGTGTGTGTGTGTGTTATGTTTTTCTCCAAACTCTGATTGTGTTTGTCCTGAAGAAAAAGAGTCCACCTTGCAAATGTAACCTTCATGCACTGCAATCCAAGCACAAGGGAACGGTGTCCGATTCACCAAAAGATAAGACAACCATATATTTCACCACATTATCAGTTGTCTTTTTCTGTAAGGAAATACAGCTAATTATAATAAGATAATTCAATCTCTTGTGCATGGGAGAAATGGAAACTTGATTGGCTTACTTGAATGAATCTCTATGTCCAAACTGAACTGACAAAAAATATATAAATTAAAAAAAAAATTACATATTAACTAAAGGGGAAGCTAAAGCATGGTATAGTGCTGTACCACATATTTCCTTCCCTTTTTTCTTCTAGACTGACCCGACCATCCCTAATTCTAAAACTACAAAAAAATAAAAAAAATTAATAGTGTGTTGCTCAAGAAGTTAAAATAACTTGCCCTAGCCCAAATAAAATCACTTATCTAACAACATTCATAAGTAAATAGTAAAAAACAAAGCAATAACGCATTCCATAAGTAATGTAATGCACTGCATTCACACAAGAACAAAGACAAATACATGAAAATACCTTTTAAAAATATACATGAAATGCAAAAATAAATTGTAAAAATGAAAACATACTAATACTGTTTAGGAGGAGACAGCTCACAAAGACCATATAACTAAGATAACATAAAAAAAATTAAACATAGAATGTTGCTACTATAAGTTACACTTTATTAAGAAAGGTAGTTAATTCATAACATCCAAAAAATACACTGCAACAAAGAAAACACTACAATGAAATCCTTAAACTTAAATCCTATCTCAGATGCTAAAAATACATATGCACACTATACAAACAATAATTTTAATGTTGAACATCAGAAAATATACATATATACACTATAGAAAAATAACTTCAAGGAAAACTTAAATACACAATTACAATTATACAAATTCACTAAATTTATGTACAATTTAGGAGGAAAGCTAGAGCTACTCACCTAAAAGAACCCTAACAGCAAATCCTCCAATGCAGCCATGGATTTCCAGTGTGTCATAGTTGGTGGTTTGGCTAATAATCTCTCTAGATATCACAAGAGCCTTCAGAGTTTATGTCAGATTCTCAAAGAGATGAAGCACTTTCTCCCCCAGTTGCAATGACACTCTCAGAGTTTCTGCAGCAAATAGTCTGTTTCATAGTTATACAATGCCCAGGCCTCCATCCACTTGGCCTACTGTTTTTAGCAGTTCCCCCCCCCCCTTATTTTTGGGACCTTGGGAGGCACTGCTATAGATGATGATGCAATTGATACCTAGGTGAACTTGGTGGAAAGTTGTGGCACAACTGGTGATACTACAGCTTGTGTTGCTACAGTGATGGCTATCACTTGGGCCATTGTCTTTCAGGGGGTGGATGAAGGAGCTGGATCTGAAAAGCAAACTTCCTGCTTTGCAGAGTTCTTAATTTGGAGAAGTTCTGGGAAGTTTTTGCAGGGATAAACATTGTGGTGATTCTGCTAAAGATGGGTGCATATCTACTGATTGTTGTTTCATTTCATGAAACACCTTCTGCTTATGGACTTGTAATCTTTTTCCCGGTGCTTCATTGCCTTGTCCTTAGACTTCAATATGGATTTCTTGGATTTTGAAGATTTGGCCATAGTCTACTTCTCTACTTCAATGTGAGCTGAGGGTGAACTGGCTGGATGGCTGGCACATTGAACCCTATGGGCTCATCTAAACTCACAATCCTTGGCTCTGTGGTCAGGACCACTAATGTCAAGGCAGTGGATGGTGTTTTCTGATGTTCCAGGGTCTGGAGGACTAACCCCATACTCTAAGCCTCTAGAGCTTACATGTTGGATGCATCATTCAGCAGTGTGTCTTCATCCATGGGCTTCAGTGACATAAATGCAAGACCAGCCTCAGGTATAATAGGCAATACTGGAAACTCTGAAATGTCTGAAAAAGAAATGACTCACCAGTAGCTCCTTTCATTAATCAGCAGTAGTAGGGATAGGTTTCTGTAATAGATAATAAAGCTGCCAGTTGGAAAAATGAATAGAGCCAGAAGGTTTAACAATTTGAAGTTAAATAAGAAAATTCAGGGTTAAAAGGATTCTGATTGTTCAGAAAAACTCTGTGAAGCATGTGGGTTAAATTCTTAATGTCCTAAAAAAACATTTCCTCAGGACTCTTTTTTTTTTGTTTAGTGCAAAAATACCAGAAATAAACCTATGGTAAAGCTCTATGTGTACAGACTTATGTGTGCTCATTCTTAACTTCCCTGTAGAATACAATCCTTACTATCTGCAGACAACTCGGTCAATGTTGGCATTCTCAGTTCTCAAGATTGACCTAAATCTCAGTTTTTCTCTCCGAGACTGTTGCGGAAGTGATGATGGTCCACAGCAATGCAGATACCCACACTAGTACTAGTGACTGATTTATATTGAATGCTGCTTGGGTGCTGACCTAATTCTTCTGACCATAGAAATTCATTAACACCTACATCTTGTTTCCTTTGCAACTTTCTTCAGCTACAAGTTCAACATGAGGGAATGACTGCACCTTGCTCAAAGGCTACATACACAGTTTGCATTTTTATACATTATAACTGGTCTTGTACTGAAAAGTATTAAGAATATATTTAAAAAACTGTGTGCTTTGAAAATATTACAGTCTGCATGATCAAAAATGTTTCACGTAATTAAATAAAACATTGGGTATCAAGTTTACATTTGTTATGTTTAATGACCGTGTTTATGAATCTTATTTTTGTATATATATAATTTACTGAAATGTTTATGCCAACACCAATGAAACACAGGTCAACTCTGCTTTCCTGAAAATGTGTTATGTGTCTATCTATTTCTTTCATCACTTTCTTTAATATCTACTACTTGCTGAATATTTCAATATCAAAACTAAGTAATTCTTGTACCCTCTCATTCACCTGGAAAAAAGGTCACTACACCCTTTCATTTGTTTTTGGGTTTTTTTTTCAACCAAAAAACTGTCTTAGCTGTGATATTTTTTTCGTGTTTTTTTGTACTTGTGTATGAGTAATTAATTAATAAAAATATACATAGTTCATTGATTTTAATATTATCATAAACCCCTTAGTCAAATTGGTATGTATGCAAAGTTTCAGTTATTTAAACTTAGTAGTAATTGTTTTATTAAAGTTCAAAATAAGGAATAAAGTTGAACTGAAGAATAATACTCAGTAGTGTTGTTACTTTTTGTATATACAATTTAATTATGAAACTTGTATTGAAAGTTCTCTGCAATAGGAAAATACTGGGTAAAACAAAATTTTGACCAGCAACAATATGCCATTGACAATAAGATCATGGAGCAACTAAACAGAATTGAGAGTCTTGTTATTAAATATGGGACCTGAAATGATAGGAAAAAAAAGTCATACAAGACAGTTGAGGCACTGAACATGCAGTGAATATGGACACAAATGAGATGGTTTTTATGTTAAAAAATATGCATTTGTAAATATTTTCTTTCAGATTCTGTGTAGGTCAACAAACGTTATTTGTAGTCTGCACCAGCATAGGAATGCTGTAAGTTATTGTGTTTTTACTGAAAATGGTCGTTATTTTCTTACATGCTCAGAGGATTTCACACTTAGGGTAAGTCCTTTTCATATTTAAGGTATTATGAAAATTTAATTAATTAAAATGAATGACATTAAATATTATAAATTAAATATATAAATATTTAAAACTGTGTATTGTTAAAAATAAGGTGAATTTTAAAGAATTGCGGGAAATTTAAAATTTAAGTGTGTTTTACCACACCAGTGAACTTTTTTTATCATCAGAAATACCATAGTTTTGAAAATATAAGTTTTTTTAATTAAGATATTGTATTATTGTTTTCAGTGTATAGGCAAATAGGGGCAAATTAAGGGTTTTGACTGTTTTTTACTAGTTCTGCTTGAATTTTATTAATTTTTAATTGGCTTATACATTTTTTGTTTGAATCATAGTGCACAATATCTTGAACTATTGTGTGCAAAAAACTCAAAGAACAAGAAGTGATTTGTTTTATATGTCATCACTGCACATGGTGTTAAAGGTATGTGATGACTATTAAGGAAAGTAATAAAAAATATATACATGTGGTACTGATATGAATCACCACAGAAACAAAGAATATTCATATACTTTAAATTGTCAGATTTGTCTCTTCTGTGTATTTGTTTTTGGTTTTACTGGTAATGTGTGTAACCCTTGATACATTATTCTGTCTTAGATTACTTAATTGTACACCAGACATGAAAAATGATTTTTAATTTTTCTATACTGTTGCTATTATGTACATAGTTTTTTGGTTATCCTTTTTGATAATGTATTTTAAAGAAGAAAAACTCCAGTGATAAGAATATCTTTAAAATGTCAGATCTAGTATAGGTTTAAAATTAGACTTTTATACTAAAAACTTACAGCTAGGCTCAAGGAACAAATAATTGTAGTAAATATTTCCAATCTATAAAAAAATTTAATTGACAAATTATGTTTGATTTGTGTTAGGAAAAAACAACAACTTTAATATGCATAAAATCAATAAACATTTCACACCTGTGCAATTAAATCTATGGTAATGTTAAAGTATATTTCTGTCAACAAATATAGTCTCACTCAGCATTAAATAGAACTGGTTACACTAAATTTTTATTTGAACTAGGACTTTTTTTAGTTTTTATGCACTTTTTTTGGGGGGGGATTTCAAACTGAAGGAGGACTCAATATGGAACTGAAAACGTCATTAGAACAAGCACCTGAAGCTACAATTTAGTTAAAAGCATCCAGTTTACAATGAATTTTAAATACTGGTGTTAAATTTACATAATGTATATTACATTGATATATGAGTTAAGAAGTCACTTCTGTAAGTGTGTGATACTCAGAGCATTTCTTTATTAGGTTTCCATTCTAATAGAAAAAATATATTCATTATGTGAAAGGATTCACAATATTAAAGCTTGAATTTTTTTGGTAAATTTATCATGGAAGAGAAGGTCCTATAATTGGATATGTACATGTCTGATATAGGGCATGTTTAATTTTTTCTAGAAAGTCAAAATTAGGTAATAGTCATCAGATATGACTTTTACACTAAAATCTTAATGACTAGTAACAGGTATTATGCTTGCAAATTATTAAATCAGGCTTAACTCTTAATGCTATTTTTAAACTCATAACTAGCTAATGATATTGACCTTTCTACTTGACCTGAAATATGGGCATTTCTTAGCACAAGTTCTTTTAAATTCCAACTTTTATATTTGCTCATTTCAGAAGTAAACTTTTTCAAGTATTTTTAATGTCCGCTGACAAATGCACATAAGATAAGAAACTACCAAGAACTCAATTTTTGTTCCACCCGATGAAAGTTTGTGCTAGAATGCTCATAATGGGATCCATTACATTCTAGATGTCTTTTTTTATGGTGGAACCATATCTTTTGACAGGATTACACTTCTATTGTGAAATTTGTCACTGTGGTAGAAGTGTTTCATCCATAATCAGTTTGGATATTTATTATTTTCAAAATACTTTTTGAAGCAAACACATACATATCATTCAGTCACACATCTCTTTCTTGTCAAATGTACAAAAGAAACCTCTATTGAATAGAATTGTTTAAACATTTGCTTAACAATAAGTAAAAGCTTGGAATGGTCTATTCTTTCATTGGGGGTGTGTCTGTGAGCCAAACTAGTTTCAGAGAATTCCACTCCTCGTGAGTGATCCTGGACACTGCCACCAATGAAACTTTAGACCAAACCAAGTCTTTATAGTAATGAGGTATCAAAAATCGAAACCTCTATAATTTTTTAAACGTCCTTTTTTTTTCATGACTAAAAAGAAGTGTTCCCATCTAGAAACCAAAAATGTTATTATTTACATTGGGGAGAAAGTGGGGGATTAATAACTTGTGAAAGATGAAGCAGAGTTTTTAATGCTGAAAAGCAGAAGCTATTATATGATTTACTAGAGCATATGGTCCCTTAAAAAATTTAGTTTTTAATTATTAGTTTTGGAACACACTTAGCTCTACTCACACTTTATCTTGTCCTGACAAAAGTTTCTCTTCTCTGCTCATCTAAGCATTGGTATGAATCATATCTTGCTTGTTCCAGCCTTTATACTTCACTATATCGCCAGAGAAATTTTAGTGTTCTAGTGGATCTTGAGTTTATTGTTTATTTTCTTTATTTTACTAAAAGAAAAAAAAAGGATACACATGTTCACATCTCGAACATGAAGTTGCTTGATACTCCTCCTCTAACACCTCACAAGTCCTGTGTTGTCAGGGGAGCAACTTCCATGAAGGACATACAGTTCTTCATACAAAGAGAGGTAGAGTCTTATATGTGGTCTGATGTTTATTCTCCTGTTGACTCTGAGGCTGAGTTTTCGGGGGATCAGTGGCAAACTGGTGAAAATTTAGACTACATTTCCGGCACATTCCTTTGCTCTGGCAGCTAATCACGAGCCTCGGACAGACATTCCACCTTCTGCACCTTTTTTACAACTGGTATGACAAGCTTGTAATGCTTTTAAGTATTTCTCCTGAGCTTACAAATCTTCTTTTTCTTTATTGAGGAAAGATCTTTTATCTGATTACATGGACCTTCCACTGTTGCCGCACATTGCTGTGTATGTGAGGATATTTGCTGATGGTTCTTCATCTTTACATGTTCCCTCCAATTCATCCTGTATCCAAGGTTCTTTCACTGATTCTCTCTTTGTCCTGTCGAGTTACTCTCGTGACACCATTTTGACTGGGTCAGCCTTAGTTCCCACTCTAATTTCAACCTCGGTCAGACTTTTTTCATCCGCCAGTTGATATTCTTTGACTTCATGTCTGGTTTTTTTGCGGTCCATCACAGAACATCAGGAATTGACTTCTTGGGTGATGCCCTTATTAACATGGTCCATTCGGCATTCTTCTTTGAAAGTTTATCAATGGAAATGGTTTACTTATCATCAGTGGTTTCTCAGACATTGGTTTAGTCCTTTTCATCCCACTATGCCGCATGTCTCAATTTCTGAAGTGGTTATTCGACAAAGGTTTAGCCCCTTCGTATGTTTCCCTGTATAAGGCTGATTTATCAGCTACTTTACAGTTTTCTAAGAGAAGAAAAGTTTTGAGTACCTGGTTTTTTCCTTACTTCTGAAATCTTTTCTGAAGTGGTTATTCGACAAAGCTACTTTACAGTTTTCTAAGAGAAGAAAAGTTTTGAGTACCTGGTTTTTTTCCTTACTTCTGAAATCTTTTCTGAAGTGGTTATTTGACAAAGCTACTTTACAGTTTTCTAAGAGAAGAAAAGTTTTGAGTACCTGGTTTTTTTCCTTATTTCTGAAATCTTTTCGGGTTATCCATCCTCGTAGGCCTTTCTAGGTTCCTAATTGGGATATCGCAGTGGTTCTCCATGCCATATCTCATCCAACTTTTGACCCTTTGGAGCCATGTTCACAAAATCGTCTTACATTTAAGACTTATTTTCTTCTGTTTTTGGCTAGCAGGTGTCGACATTTGGATGCATTTGTGCTTCATGTTTACAGGATTCTTTATCATTCCACTGTTGTATTCAGATAGGTCTTTTCTACCTAAAACTTCTGCAGCTAGAGAAGGAGATAAGGCTTTCTCTCCTTTTCATCTTCACTCCATTTCACATTTATTCAACTGCTCAGATCCGGATCATCTTTTATGCCTGGTTTGGACTCTTCAATGTTATGTGGAAAACACTGAAACATTTGTTTATCCACTGGGATCCTACTATGTCATGTGACTTATCCCCTGTCACTTTGACCAGTTTGATTCATCATTTGGTATGTATGGCTTACTCCAGGATTTCATTGCAGGAATGGAGTCTTGTTTGGGTCTCATCTCATCAAGTTTGACATATTTCAATGTCCCTGGCAGCTCAGTTGCATTGTGCACTGGAGGAAATTGTACAGGCTGGCATGTAGACCACACCTAACACCTTTATATCTCACTATTTGCATGATTTAATGGTTTCCTCCTAGGATGGGATTAGGCAACTCCCCATAGCTATTCTATACACCCCAGCTTGTGACATAGGTGAATGACTTCATTTCTTCTGTGTTATTCTATTCCTTTTCAGGGACCCTCTCATCATTATCATTTAGATCTCACACAATAGCGGGTGTTGCCTGATCAGGCATGGTTTTTCTAAATCTGAACTAGTTACCAGTAGACTAATAAATAATATTCCTGGTAGCAATGAGCTCTGTTGAGATGGGGTCTTCCATTAGATTAACTTGGCACTTTCCAGGTGATACACAATTATTCGGTACCACATAATATACTGGACTGCCACTCATGAACTATTATGAGGAAAGCTTAAAGGGATTTTGTCCATCCCTGCTGACCTCCTGGATCGAATAAATTGGGGTTGGTTTGCTTTTCAAAATAGGGAACATGGTTCACCTATTGCACTGTCTCCAGAGCATCATTCCTTGGGACTCCCCAACATGTATTCTCCCTCCATTTCTCAATAGTGGAGCATGAGAGTCCTTACTACTCACAGTTTCTAGTCATTGGAGTAATGGACAGAGGTCTATTCCTCCTGAGTGATATTTGAACACTTTTATTCCACTCAAGGAGAAGAAGGCAAAGCTGGATATCCTCCCACCTATAACCCTGGGTGATTTTTCCCAGATGTTTGGTGGGAGCAGGACCAGTCTATCTGGGAGCCTTCTCATAATTTCAGTTCAGTGATGACATTTCACTATCTGGTTGTGTTGAGCATGTCTCTTCTTTTTGGTCATTATATTACTTTAAATGATCATGGAAGAGGGTTCTCGACTCCTCCTAGCCACATGCAGAGCATCAAGTCCTTGAGCCATTGGTTGAACTTTGTCTGTTCCACATCCTCCTCATAATCCCAGGGACAGGAGGTGTTGACTTGCCTCTCAGGTTGGGGAGTTAGGATTTAGGTTCGTAATCCCAGGCCGGATGATTTCTGTTTTCTAGAGGATGAGTGAGGCATGAATGGCCCTGTAATTCCGAGTTTGGTTTATTGGATTCTGTGCTTCTTGAGGTTGAGGGAAAGGCATGTCCACTTGGGTGTTACTTGCCTTCTCTTTGTAATTCTGGTGGCTCGCATGCAGCATTTTGTAGCTTTCAGGTTGGGTTTCTGGGCCCCTAATTCTGAGTTTGGTTTGTTACATTTCATACATCTTCAGGTTGGGGTTAGGGTTTGTCCACTTTTGTGTTGCATGCCTTCTCTTCATAATTCTGGTGGTTCGATATGCAATATTCTGTAACTTTCAGGTTGGGTTCCCTTAATATCATATTTTTAAAATACAGTGATATCACACTGTGGTCCTCATGCCCTATCCACTACCCCTTGGATCTAGCTTTTGGTCCAGAATCCTACAATTCCAAGGACGAAACATGGGACCTCATTTACATGGTTGGGGTCTAGACAACTTTCATAAACATGTACAACATTTCTAAACAAGATGAGTATGGTTTTACAGGAGGAACCAGGTATGGAGTAAATGTCCCTTCTTGCATGTCTATTCTCATGATGTTATGATTTTGACACTGTGACCATTTGGCCTTTACCACCCATATTTTAGATTTCACATGATTTGGGGCGAAGAGCATACCTGTTTCAGAAGTAGTGCAGACCCCATTAGTGTGTATGCCATATCTCAATTTGCATACATTTTCTAAACACGGATGCTTTCCATGGTGTGTTTCAGAAATTCACGTTTTCCTATAGCGAAGATATATTTCCAATAATTCTTACCTCTTGGTATTTGGGTCTGATAATTTTGCCAGTCTTGAAAATGTGAATAAGAAGTAATAATGGGAAGCTTATGTACAGATCTGGTATAGAAGGCATATTGACGTAGGTGGAGAGAGTCACAAGGTTAAATTTGCTATGAGCGATATAGTAAGGTATAAAGATTGGAGCAAGTGAGGTATAATTCATACCAATTCTTAGATAGGCAAAGAAGATAAATTTTTGTCAGGATAAAGTGGGACAGGAGGTAAGTATTATCAGAAATATATTTTTGATATAGGAAAATGTAAACTTTACAAAAAAAATAGTATACCTTGGAGATCAATAATAAAAATGATGTAAAAGAACAATTTTAAATAGTTCAAGGTAAAGAATATTTTATTATCAGAAACCAAAAATGACACTTTGCGATACTTCAAAATTATTAACAGTTAATATTGTATTTTTAAGTAAGAGTGTAAATGTAAAAATTATGATAAGTTTTAATGTTATACTTGCAATTCAGAAAAATCTGTATTACTGCATGTAATATTTGAACTTGTAAAGATGAGAATGCGTAACTATAGTAGTGATATTACATGAAACAAATATGAATGAAGACAAATATTGTTATAATTGAGATGATAGAACTATGTCATGCATTAATTAATTTTCTTTCATTGAAATTCAACAACTCAGGTGTGGCAGATGAATGGAAAATACAATTCTTGTGTTGGTCACTTTGGTCCAGTCCTGATGTGCAAGGTGTACGGGAATGATACTCGCATCTTGTCATGCTCAGAAGATGGATATATTCGGGTAATTGTGCATTATAAGTTTTTTTTTAATAATTACTGTTTCCTAAAGATGATAAATTCAAGAAATAACATTTGTTATTCATAAGAAAGAAAAAAAACTTTGTGTTAAACTAAGTAATAAACTAACAAAAATGACATGTATATCTCACTGGGACCAACCTCATAACCATTTTGTGCTTGTTATAGTTTTCATGCTATAACTTTTAAATTAATAAGCAATTTGGAACATTATCAGTAAACATTATAATGCTTTCATGTGCAAAATATAAATTCTTTTATTATGTCTTAAATTTTGTAAAGCAATCTTTTTCTCATGCCTTTTTTTTCTTTTTGCGTGTTGCCTATTTAAGATCCAAAATAATTTTCATTTCAGACTAAAAATACTGTTATACATTAGAAA